TGCCTGTGGTGGCCGTTTCCCCACCACTCTCTCCCTCCCCTGTGTGCATGATGCCAGATGCAGCTGTTTTCCTCTGGTAAGGTCCATAATCCACAGAATTTAACATCCAGTGTGTGTGACCAAACCAACGCCTAGGTCAAAGGCGTGCCAACATGAGTGTGGCCATGAGGAGGATTTTCCACCTACATGGGATATAAATGCCACAGACAAGGTTTTCCATGGGCCATTGTCATATCTCAGCATGCATCTGGGCTTGGCTTAACTAACTGTAGCAGGAGGGGACAGACAGGAGGAAGCGAAAACTCAAATATGATCTGGTTGTAGGCATGGAGATAGGAAAATAAACCCAAAGGTGGGTACTGGGAAGAGTTCAGTCTAGCAGATGAGGCAAAATACAAAATGTAATAGTCCAAACAAGTTGTCAGAATCAGGGAATCCTGTATACAATTAACCCTTGAACAATGTGAGGTGGGGTGGGATGGGGGAATTAGGGGAATGGACTCCCACCTCCAGGCATTAGAAAATCTGCTTACAACTTTTGACTCCCTCAAAACCTATTAGTAACCATTTACCTTATTGATAACATAGTCAATTAGCAGATTTTTTTGTATGTGTGTTATATATTGCATTCTTAAAGTAATCTAGAGAAAAGAAAACATTATTTAGAAAATCATAAGGAAGAGAAAAGATAGTTACTATTCCTCATTATGAAGATCTTCATCACTGTCTTCACACTGGATTAGCTGAGAAGAGGAGGAAAGGGGAGCTTACTCTTGCTGTCTTAGGGGTACCAGAGATGAAAGAAAATTCATGCACATATAAATGGACCTATCTGGTTCAAACCTGTTCAAGAGTCAACTGGAGTTGGAATATCAAAGCACGTGGGCAAGGTGACTACACCAACAGTGCAAGCCGTGTGGTGCTGTGGCTAAGACATCTATGGGGCAGATCTGGAGCTGAGCCTGAACTTGGCCATTTTCTAGCAGTCTTGCTTGGGAGAAAGTTAATCTTTCAGCTTCAATTTCCTTAACTGAAGTAGGGATAGTAAGAGGACCTGTGCCAGACTTCTTGTTGGGATATTTGAGGCAACGTAGGTGACCTTCTTGCTGTCTGCACATAGAAAGTTCTTGATGTGTGCCAGCCATCGCCATCTGCTGCTGCTGAGGGCTCTCAGACAGGTGTATGTGCTCAGTGAGCCCTGGGGAAGGAGAAGACAGCAATGGGCATAGGAGCCAGGTCCAGGCCTTCCCATCCAGGCCTCGAGCTCTTCAGTAGAGAGGAACCTACTTATAGATCTTTCTCAACTACAGCACCCTGCATTTAGTGTATCTAGGCCTGAGTGTACTCGAGTGATAACCTTGAAAAAGCAGCAAGAGTGATTCATTCAGACCTGGAAATAGGGAGGTTTTCACACTGGAGGTGACATTTAAGTGGCAGAGTCTCATTAGTACAAACGTGGCAGTGCGGCCAGAAAGGCAGGCTGCAGGAGCAGGATGGGGAAATAGTGCAGAAAGAATAAGAGAGGAGTGGCTGTGCTTGGGATGTAGACAGGTGCTGGGGAGCATGTGGAGACCAAAGGGCCACAGAAGACATTGAAGTTGGACAAACTTATGCCCTAGTGCTCAGTGTGAAATTATCCCATAGGTAGCATGCAGTCAGTGAAAGACTACTGTAAAACAGACCAATGACATACTCAGAGCTGCACTTACAATGACAGATAGCAGTGTAAAGAATGGGTGGGCAGAGAAAGAGAAAGATAGTGTAAAGTCTGTTTGGGAAGTGATGGGACGAGCTTGGGTCAGAGGTGATGAGACCTCATATTGGGAGTGGCCTCGGGAGTAGGGACATACTGGAGAACTGTCTGGTGGGGTCACCTCTGGGAGGCTCATTACGTGGCAGAGGGAAAGGGGAGGGATGGAGAGGGGGATTGGGACTCTTTGGCTGAAGAATGGATGAATGATGGGGCATTAACTGAGTAAGGGGAGTAGATGCTAATGAGTTTGATCTGGAAACTTTTGGGTTTAAGTGTTACAGAGTTTGACATGAGTTCAGTGCTCAGGATGGAGTCTGAGCTGGACATAGGCCTTTGAGGATAATTTCTATGTGTTTGGGTGATCAGTAAAGTCTTGGGAGTAGGTGTGGACGCTTCTGGGATTATTTTGTAAAGAGAAAAGCACAAGTAGATTCTTGGGAAAATGTGGCCATTTGAGGGGCAGATGAAAGATCCAAGGAAGGGATCTTGAGGGGGAGTCTGCAGAGCAGGGGGAGAACCCCAGGGGACCAAACCATGGGTGAAGCCAGACTCAGAGCTGGTGATCAAAGTATCGAACCCAGCAGAGGCCAACAAGGCAAGGGCTGAAACAAAGCTACTGAATTCAGTCTTCAGTAACCCTTCAAGGAGCAGGATTGGTGTGGATAGGGGTGGAGGACTCCAGTTCCAATGGTCGGGAGGTGCAGGGGCTACTGAGCTTTCCCCCAGAACTGTGGAAATGCGTGCCATGGAGGGAGACAGGGAGGTAAACTGTGGGTGAGGCAAAACAGCGGAAAATTGTTTTTGTTTTAAATTATGGGTAAGATTAAGCTGTGTCAAGAGGGCAGGGTGCTGGTGGGAAGAGATTAGCTGCAGTAAGAGATAGATGAACAGTTGGTGAGGTCATTTTGTCAGGCCTGAGACCTCAAGAAGAGCAACACGAGAAATTGGAGCACTTGGCCTACCGCAAGATTTTTTTCTGATTTATAAATGTATGTATATTGGAAATTGCATAAAGTACAAGCTAAATAATTTCTGCTCATACGATGATTTTTTTGAGGCAGAGACAGTCTTACTTCTGTAGAGTGCTATGGAGTCATAGCTCACAGCAACCTCAGACTCCTGGCTTTGAGCAATCCTCTTGCCTCAGCATCCATAAATCACCTTCACAAAAAGATAAGGAAACATTAAGAAAACAAAAAAGGACTGTTCACGTATATCAAGATTAGAGATCTGCGGTGTGTGATTGCCAAGTGGACCCAATTAAGGGGACATGAAGTCTGCAGAGGTTTGGAACCAGGCAGGGCCAAGTCCTGGCGAGACTGGATGCTTGGCTCCAAGTTGGAATTAGTTGTCCAGGGCTTCATGAAGGCCGGCATTGAAGCACCAGGCACCCATCTTTACAGCCAGATGGACACTGGATGTGAAACTTGCCCGAAAGTCCAATATCTTACATAACATCTCTGCAGTCTAAGTTCATACAAAGACAATCATTCATTTTGGAGACATTCAAGTTAATGTCTTGGTCCTGTGGCTTAGCCAAAATCATTAGCGAAGAGAAAAATACTCCGCTGCCAATGATGCTGTCAGATAATGTTTGTGTTTAGGAGATTTTTAATAGAGCTCAGTGTACAATTCAATATTAATGTAAATTGTCCTTGGATGAGACCAGCCATTGATTTTTAAAAAAACTTCTGTAACAATTTGGGTTGTTAGAAGCAGAAATATTTATTTAATAGCAAAATGGTTAACAGTAATAAGCACATAGATGCATAAGGTCAGAAGAGGGGAAACGAGTTCGGTTAGCATTATCTCTTCATTTTAGAAAAAGGAAATTGAGGTCCAGAAGGGTTGGGGTCAAGGCTAGTTAATAGAAGATGGTGAGAGTAGGGTTATATTGTAGTTTAGGCCAGGCATTTCTGGAAGTCTGTTGACAGTCCAGGACCCTGATCCTCTAGGTTCCACAGACAACCTGGTTGATATCTTGAAGCTGAGAATGGATTACTTAGCAACTAACGGTTACTGTCACTGGAGTCCTGCCCAAGTATAGATGGGAATCCCTGAAGCAAGTTAGGAAAGTTAAAGTTTTCCCCCTAATTTGTAAAGTGTGAGTTGTAATCACATGATGTGATCTTTCCCTCTTTTTTTACCCTATTTTTTGTTTGTTTGTTTTGATTGTTAATGATTGCTTGGAGCACCTGGCTTTGAATTACTCAAATTAACTTTATGTTTTATGTTGTCAACATGATTTATGGTTTGGGACTGAATAAAGAGACCGGTGGGAGAATGGATCGAGGCTGCATTTGCTAGATGCTACTAGTGATAGTGTACACTTCTCACAGGCTCCCACTGGTTGTTTGACCTGAGGTAACTGAGCCTAAGTCTGTGCTTATTTATTTATTTTTATTATTGAGGATTCATTGAGGGTACAAGAAACCACATTACACTGATTGCATTTGTTAGGTAAAGTCCCTCTTATAATTGTATCTTGCCCCCCAAAGGTGTATTACACACTGGGATTTCCACCCGCTTCCTCCTTCCCTCTCTTTGCTCTTCCCTTCTCCGACCCTCTCCCTCCTTGCCTCTCTCTGGTCTTCCTTTCCCCAGAGAAAGGAAGTCCTTCTCTCTCTCTTCTCTTCTGTTTTCCCCTCCCCCCATCTCCTACCCTGTATTAGGTCATTAATTGTCCTCATATCAAAATTGAGTACATTGGATTCTTGCTTCTCTATTCTTATGATGCTTTACTAAGAATAATATGTTCTACTTCCGTCCATGCTAATACAAAGGATGTAAATTCTCCATCTTTTTAATGGCTGAATGGTATTCCATGGTGTACATATATCACAGCTTGTTAATCCATTCCTGGGTTGGTGGGCATTTAGGCTATTTGCACATTTTGGCAATTTTAAATTGAGCTGTAATAAACAGTCTAATGCAAGTGTCTTTATGGTAAAAGGATTTTTTTCCCTTCTGGATAGATGCCCAGTAATAGGATTGCAGGATCAAATGGAAGGTCTAGGTTGAGTTCTTTGAGGGTTCTCCATACTTCCTTCCAAAAAGGTTGTATTAGTTTGCAGTCCCACCAGCAGTGTAAAAGTATTCCCTTCTCTCTGCATCTGCAGTTTTGAGATTTTGTGATGAGGGCCATTCTCGCTGAGGTTAGATGATATCTCAGGGTGGTTTTATTTGTATTTCTCTAATAACTATGGATGAGCATTTTTTCATATGTTTGCTAGCCATTTGTCTGTCTAAAAATATGGTATGCTCACAAATTTGCGTGTCATCCTTGCACAGGGACTATGCTAATCTTCTCTATATCATTCCAATTTTCATATATGTGCTGCCAAAGCAAGCAATGAGCCTGTCTTTTCTCACATCACCTGCTCCCATGGCAGGTCCTGGCAAGGTTTGCAGGAATCTAGGCCCCCACCAAGGATTAACACTAAAACAAAAGCCGTTAACTCCCTAAAATGTGAATACTTCACAAAATATAAAAATTACAATTAATATACAGGAAACCGAATGGTAGACTAGAAAAGCAGAGGAAGCAAATAAGTTTAGGGTTACTTTGGATTCACTTTGATTTCTATTTCTATTTCTGATGAATCCAGGCTATATCCATCAATATGCAGAAAAGTGTTAGGAATTCAAATATGAAGTGGGAAAGCATCCTTGCTTTGAGTCTGAGGCCTGGGTTCCATTCATCCTTCAATATGGTGCCAGGTATGTGCCGACAGTGCTAGCCACGAGCCCCTGGGCATGGTACCACCCTCACTCTCTCTGTGACCTGGGGGTCCTAGTTTGTTTATAAAATTGGGTGCTGGGGAACCCAAGAAGAGAGAGGGAAACTAGGAGAAAGGATCCAGTTAGGGGTTGCATTTGTGAGTAAGAAGAGGAAAACCAACTCTTTGGGAGGATTGTTTGTGACTGGGAGTCGAGACCAGCCTGAGTAGCAGAGCAAGACCCTATCTCTACAAAATGCAGGGGGAAAAAGTACCTAGGCATGGGAAGAGATGATCAAGATGGAAGATGCATGCAGTAGGCACTGAGGGCCCAGCAGTGTCCATGGTGGGTTCATCTTGGACTCCCACAAGAAGGTCAAACTTGGACTCCCACAGCCATCAGACTCCATCTGGGGCACCAGGACACAGGGTAGCAGTCTATCCCCACACTCCTCTGGATGTACAAACGTGAGCTCTTCTTGCAGTAGGCCTCTTCCCCATGGGTCCCAAGTGGAAGTACCGTAATCCCACAGGCATTGTGGAACCAAAGGTGAAATTCAACAAGCACGGTGAAAATTTTAAAATGGAGCAGTAATACACAGCCTCCATCCCCCTGCATACAACCCACAGCTGCAGTCTTTGAATCCCAAAGGCACAAATCTTTTTGATGGGTGAATTTCTAGTAGATCCATGGCTGCATAAAAGAATACATGAATTTTCATCATCTCCACTCCTGCAACGATCAGCGCTTCAGTGGCAAATCACAGATTTCACCTTTGGGAATAAGGCCTACTGAGTTCCCTCCCTGGGACTGTTATTGATATACATTCTCACTATTTTAAGCCACATGAGGACTTAAATAACATCACAGAAGTGCGTTTGTTTTTTTTTCTAGAATCATATGCTGCTGTAATGAAAAAAGGGAAAAAGGGAATTTTGACTTCTATTGAGATGGTGATAGCATCGTGGGGAGCTAATCAGAAAGCTGGACTTGCAGTCAGGTTTCAGCAAATACAGTAATATGTTTGCACTTTCTGCTCAGTCCTTTTCAAGCGTCTGGAGTAATTAGCCTTGCTTTCCTGAATGACACAACGTGGGTATTTCTTGCTAAGGCAGCAGTGGGACCCTCTGGCTGAGGATGGTTCTGTCTGGTCAGGACAAAAGCCTGGCTCCATTATGTTTCCTTTCATGAAGGCTGAGTATCAAAGTGACCTCCGACTGACAGTTTAATTGCTTAATTAGAGTCTCTCTTCTGAGCTGGAGACTCCTGGAGCTCAGCAAGCTCTTATTGATCTCTGAGCAATGCTGCTTATAGCTTAGTAGGGTGGAGGGAGGTCATTTCGGCAGCATGGACTGGCCCCCTGAGATTCCCAACCTCTGCCTTCAAGCGTCCTCTGCTCAGCTCCATGGAATGTCTGCCTTGGGAGAATCAGCAAGAAACAGCTAAAAGCGAGCTCACCACAGTCTGGATCCTGCCTCTCACTTGGGAGGAAACTCACTGGAGCTAACAGACTAGTACAAAGAGGAGAGGGAGGGGGTGGGAAGGGAAGGGGAGGGGAGGGAGAGAGTAGTAACTATTTTCTTTCTATAGCTTTTTGTACCCATCTAGGAGAAAGAAAGTGTTTCATTTGAACCCCAAAAAAGCCAGATCCCTGTGCCTCCCTCTCCCCCAAAGCTTAGTGCCTGTTGCTGTTCCCATCATTTGACATCAAGGCACAGGGTGGAGCAGGGCAGACACCTAGCACAGCATCCATCTTTTGTTTTATTTTTTTAAGACACTACCCATGATGTGTTTCCTTTTAAAACACTGATCATTTCCAAAGCAGAGCAGACAGATGCAGGGATCATGGAACTTGGTGGTTCAAAGAGACAACAGAAATAATTCTTCAAATATTTCCTGTTTTACAAATAAATCCATGACAGCAATTAATCTCTCCCCTTCCCTCCCCTCCTTTTCTCTCCTCTTTCCCTCTCTCTCTCCCTTTTCTCCTCCCCATTTCTTCCTTCCCTCCCACCACAGAAATTTTCATTTCTATTTAATACTTGAGGATTATCTTTTCAAATTATTCATTCTGCGACTTGCATTTGATAACCCGCTCAGCCATTTTTCATGCCAGTGCCAAACCCATCACCCCAAACCCCAGGCTAAACCTTTGTATCCCCTAAGAAAAGGAACAGTTAAATTGAGACCACTCCTGATTTCTGGAAGCCAGTTTGGTTTGGTTTGGTTTACATTTCAGTTGAAATCTCCTTAAATGTTTATTTGTGGAAGTAAGATGAGCCTCTTGGATTTCTTTTCATATTAACATTTCCAGGAATCTTTGAGTCACTGCTTGCCACGACTGCAAGTTATCAGAGTTTATGGTCTCTGTAAAAAGTGAACTCAGAGCAGGAGAAGATAGAACAAAGAGGTAAGAGCAACAAGTCCCGCTGTGAGATGTGGGCTTGTGAATTGGACTTAGCATTTAATTTCCAAGGAGCTTAGCTGGAACATGTCACTGAGGGAGGAAACGGATGCTTCCTCCTCCCCACCCAAAGAAAAGCTGCTATAGTGAGTAATACCGCTGTTTCCTTCCTCACTTACACTTACGACTCCAACAGCTTGGATAATTTCCTGAGGGATTCCCCTCCTTACCACTTAATATTTCCTCTATTTTGGCGCGGTTCACATTCCAGAATGGGAGTTCCATTAGCAGCTACATAGTTCCCATCTATGACACTTGAAAACTATTTCATAGACCCTCCATCCTCAATATTAAATTTGCACTCTGATGAGAATCATCTCTTCTGTACCCTACATATCTTATCCTTCGCCACCCTTTTTACACTGATAAGCTTTAAGGCAATGTGTGGTACCAGATGGATTTTAGAAAAAAGGACACAGTAAGGACCAGGTTGAAAGCCAATGTAGGCCAAGGGCAAGGTGAGGGGAAAAGGCACTGGTAGACCAAAAGAAAAAAGAAAAAAACTATGGTTAGACCAGAAAAGGGCAAGGAGAGGATTTATATCTGAATCTAGGAATGACTCAAGTTTAGGACACAGCAGTATAAATTTGGGGTTTATTTATTGGTCCTAGACACTGCGCCCTTTGTTCCACATTCTGCTAGATTAGCCATGCTGAGAGTCCCATGCGTGTTCAGAGGAATGGAATGCGCGGCAGATGCCAACCACCCCAAACCCACAGGAGCCCAGCCACGCTTTCTAAAATGGACTGGCCGTGCTTGACAGGAGGTCGCTCAGTGACAGGGACTTCCATCCTATTTCCAGAGCCTCCATATTTAGCCTTCTAGGAGGCCAGGGACATTTGACTTGGCTTTGCAGAATCATGGTTTCTCAATAGTCTAACCTAATGAATAAAACGTGATTTTACCTTTTCTCTTGGTTTAATAATAATTGATCAGATGTCAGACAGATAGAATTTGCATATTGGCTCTGCCCTATAAGGTACGTGACTAGGAAAGTCACTTACATTTTATGATCTTAAGTTTTCCCAAGTGCAAAATGGAGCTGTAAGAACCGAATATTAAAAAAAAATGTATTTGAAGAACTTATCAGTGTCTAGTATGAGTAGCTATTAGTTGCTACTCTCAATTTTTCTATTGCTGGTAGTGCAACTGCTTCTATTACTATAATACTATCTTAAAGGTCTGAGTTATCTTTTTAAAAATTGTGAACCTCAGGTACACAATCCTGGATCCAGAATCCTTAGTTCATCGCTATCATCCTAATGCACCATCAGCCCTCATTTCCTTTTAAGATATTTTTTAAAAATCTTAAAATATGTATTATAAAAATGTTCACACATTTTTCAATATATCATTTCCATGAATTTCATACATTCATAAGTACATTATTTTACACTTGCCAGAAGATTCACAAATGAGCTAAGAAGGAAAAAGTAATAGCAGAAGAACCAAATAAAAACATCTTCATACACATTCGTAATCTATTTTGTACTCTGAAGCTAAGCTGTGGCATCTTCACACTTTGGGGATTATAAAGCACGCTGTATGTTTTGCTCTGGTATTAAAATAGTTTCTTCTTACTCTTGTTTATAATAATTTTAAGTCACACATTAAGTTAGGTTATTTTCTCCCCGAGCGAGATAAAACTTGGTAAAACAAGAAAATAGGTAAACAGTAGAAATAATTTCCACCTCCTACTCTATAACTATCTGAGGAAATACACTCCTTTTTCTAGAAATAAAATATAAATGCTACTGAGGAAGCTAAAATTCATCCCCTCCTCTCCCCCAGTCATGAGCTTTGGGCTGGAAGTGATGACTGACATTCAGACAGGTGACCCCGAGCCAGGTAAGGACGCCAGGGTTTTGCTCACAGCAGAGGGGGGCTGCAGGCTGCGGTGCCCTGCCCCGCATCCCTCTCCATCATGTGGTCTCTGGTTCTTCAGCAAAGCTGGAGCAATTGCTTGTCTTTATTTATTGCATTTTAAGTATTGGTGCTCGGCTTCATTCTTGTGTTTGATTTTGCATTTTAGAAAGAGCACGCCATACAGTGGCAGTTCTGGAGGCTAAATTGAAGGGAGACATAGATTTAAGGCCTCTATTTCAGGCTGCAGTGGTGAGTTCCCTCATCAGAGGGGGCCTGGGGTTGAGGTGGAGGAAAGGAAC